CAAGCCTCCAGGTCAATCCTTTATCAAGAATTTGAGCACCAAATAAAATCCCCTTCCACGTGGGAGAGCAGTTATTCGTAGGAGTCAAAGGAGGTTCACAAAAGGGATGACCCTTTAAGTATTTTTTCTCAAAAATCTGAGACCACAAGCCCTCCTCCTTCTTCAATAATCTCCAGGCACTTTTAGCTAGAAGGGCTTGGTTCATATGATGAGTTTTCTTGAAGCCAAGACCACCATGGCTCTTAGGTCTACTTGCAATGTCCCACTGACATAGATGAATTTTCTGTTTCTTGTCACTGCCTCCCCAAAAAAAATTCCGATTTAATCTATCAAGATCCCCACAAATACTCATAGGCAGTTTGACAGTTTGCATAGCATAAATAGGAATAGCAGAGGTGACAGCTTGGATTAGAGTTGCTCTACCTGCAATAGAAAGTACTTTACTTTTCCAGGATGCAAGTTTAGCGTGCATTTTCTCCACAAGCTTGCAGTAGGTGGCCTTATTCACCCTAGTGTGCAACAGAGGCATCCCCAAGTACTTGCCTAAATTATTTGTGAGAGGTGAGCCAGAAATAAAACTGATTTTAGCCGCTAACTCCTTATTAGTATTCGGGGAACAGTAGATAGCAGATTTCTCAAAATTGACAATTTGGCCCGAGGCTTTGCAGAAAATCTCAAGGCATTGTTTCATGACTCTAGCGTGCTGCGTGCTCGCTTCAGCAAAAAGAATCAAGTCGTCGGCGAAGAACAAATGGGATACTGCAGGCCCAGTTTGAGCAGACTTCACTGGTTTCCAAGTACGCTTCTCTACAGCATCTACAATGAGATGTGATAGTTTTTCAATACAAAGGACAAAGAGATAAGGTGAGAGGGGGTCACCTTGTCGAATACCATTTTTAGGAGTGAAGGTCTCAGTGAGTTCCCCATTTACACACACTTGATAAGTGACAGAAGAGACACACTGAAGGATCAAAAGAATCAGATTAGGTGGAAGCCCAATTTCATTAAGAACCATTTCGATGAAACTCCAACTAAGTCTGTCATAGGCTTTAGACAGATCGATCTTCCACGCTATTAAGCCTTTTTTGCCCTTAGTGTGCCTGAATTTATGCATGAGTTCTTGAGCAATCAGAATGTTGTCAGTAATATGTCTCCCAGGAACAAAGCTAACTTGATGAGGGCTTATGAGCTTTGGCAGAATAGGCCTCAATCTAGCAACAATCACTTTAGAAATAACCTTATAAAGAGTGCAGCAAAGGCTAATGGGTCTAAAATGCGTCATAAGCACAGGATTTTCTAGTTTAGGAATAAGGGTTATCAAGGTAGCATTCAAACCTGTGGGAATTCTGCAGTCACTGAAGGCTTGGGCGACCATCTTATAGATATCCTCACCACACAACTTCCACTGATTTTGATAGAAGCAAGCAGGGAACCCATCTACACCCGGGGTTTTCAGGCCACCAATGTTGAAAAGGCTATCCTTGACGTCGCTGATATCAATATTAGCCCCCAAAGAAGCTAGATCATTCTCCATAATGCTGGGAAATAAATTAGGCATAGTGGGTAAGTTGTAATCCCGGTGGTTCTCAGAGAAAAGGTCAAGGAAATAGTTCACAGCAAGGTCTTTTATACCATTAGCATCCTCCACCCAAATACCATTATCCATCTTTAATTTTTCAATTCTGTTTTTTCTTCTTCTGATGATGGTAGTTAAGTGGAAAAACTTGGTGTTTCGGTCCCCTTCTTGCAGCCATTTCACTCTTGATTTCTGCTGCCAGAATAATGCCTCTTGTTCCAAGACTGCATTATAGTCCCCAATTAGAGAATTTTCCAAAAGGCTGAGGTAAGGATTAGGCATGTGACACAAAGCTTTTTGGATACCATTGAGTCTAGCAAGGAGCTCGGCTTTCCTTTGCTTCAAATGGCCAAACACAGTATGGTTCCAAAGTTTGAGGGGCTCCACCAGACTACAAGATTTCTCCAAAGCAGACCCAGCATTTTCTTTCCACAGTCGAGAAATAAAATCACGAAAATGATCATGCTTTAGCCACATAGCTTCAAATCTGAAAGGCCTAGAGCTGGGGCAGGACGCAATTCGCGATTTGAGGCAGATTTTAATAGGACAGTGGTCAGACTTGGTCTTCGGGAGGTGGTGCACAAAAGCTTCAGCAAAATACCGCCTCCATTGAATGTTGCAAATACCTCTATCAATTCTTTCAAAGACCCTTTTGTTGCTCCAAGTAAATTTGGGTCCAGAAAAACCTAAGTCGATCATATCATTTTCATCAAACCACTTTCTAAAACCCTTGAGTCTGCATAAAGGAGATCCCCCTGCTTTATCATCTAGGTGAAGCATATCATTAAAATCACCAGCAACAAGCCAAGGCATTTGGTGGCAGCTGGCAATAAAATTGAGATAATCCCACAATTTATCCCTTTTGGTAATGCAAGGACTAGCATAAATAGCAATGAAGAGCCAGGTATGTTGGCCTGGCCAAGACACAGCAGCAGAAATAGACTGGTTGGACGTGCCAAGAATCTCAACTTTCACGTTGTTTTTGTTCCACAAAAGCCAAAGACCACCAGAGAAACCCACGGGGTCTACCACCTCATAATCAGTAAAACCCAAGGAGTGAATCACTTTGAGAGCCTTGTTTCCACCAATCCTTGGCTCACAGACAAAAAGAATATCTATATGGTGCAACTTAGGGCTCGTTTGGGAATGCTTCTCTAGGAAGTACTTCTGCTCATAAGCGCTTCTAACAAAAGCGCTTTTATTATAAAAATCTTGAATTTTCATAAAAAATTAAAGTGCTTCGTGAAAAAACACTTGGGAGTGCTTCCTGAAGAAGCACATAACAGGTGCTTCTCCAAGAAGCGCTTCTATGACCCAGAAGCGCTTCTAAACTTTTTTGCCAAACGCTGTCAGAAGCGCTTTTAGTTATTAGAAAGCGCTTTTGGACCTTTTAGAAGCACTCCCAAACAGGCCCTTAATTAGCTCCAGCATAGTAACTCTAAATTTGGTGCATGCTGCACCTCTGACATTCCAGCATAAAATATTCATTAAAAACGAGAGAAGACAAGCAAAGTCACCTAAGGTGTTAACCCAGCATTTGCCTTCTTGCCAAAGAAGCATAAACCTTCCTGAAAAATAAGAATATGCTGCTATTTGGGTAGCTCTGTTTTGGTAAGCAGAATATGCTGCTATTTGGGTAGCTCTGTTTAAAGATATGTTCATTCTTTTACTACAGGGTTTTAATTCAAATTCGTTCTTATACTGGTTTATGGGACTGGGGATTTGAATTTGATAATTTTTGTTTTGTTTTGGTTTATGGGACTGGTTTATGTGGTTTGGCATGCAACAGTTTAAATGGGACAATCCCAAGTGGTTTGTTTATGTTGAAGAATTTGAGTATAATCTATCTCTTCTACAACAGCCTGTCTGGTGATGTACCTCAAGTGGTTGAAGCATTGAACTTGAGTATTATTGATATTTCTAACAATGATTTAACAGGGCCAATTCCAGAAGACTATGGAAACCTTACCAAGTTAACAGAGTTAGCTTTGTTATTTAATGGTTTTTCTGGTAGCTAGCTAGCCTTGAAAGATTTTTGCAATAAAGGATCCTTTATATATATTCCCAATGTGTCTTCATTTGGTTGTAAATATACACAAATCAATGTTTTTAATTACCTCTTTTTTTTCCCTCTGTTTTCTTCTGTTTCTCAGCCTTATGTAGATCTGAGTTATCAATCTTTACTTCTTTTTTCCCTTTATTTTTCAGGAAGGTTTATGCTTCTTTGGCAAGAAGGCAAATGCTGCAAGGAACCCAAAAATACCAGGAATCTTCATGCCTAACAGGAAACCCAATAGATGACTGTTGGGAATGTGACCCAAATAGGCCAAACAACAGGCAGAGCTTAGCAGATTGTGCAATTGGGTTTGGCCAATATGCTCTTGGAGACAAAGGTGGTGAGTATTATATTGGCAGACTCTTCTAATGATGATGCTGTGAATCCAAGGCCAGGCACTCTGAGATATGCTGTGATACAGACTGAGCCTCTCTGGATTGTGTTCCCTGGCAACATGCTCATCAAGCTCTCCCAAGAGCTCATCTTCAACAGCTACAAGACCCTTGATGGCCGTGGAGCCAATGTCCACTGTGTGGGTGGTGGCTGCATCACATTGCAGTTCATAAGCAATGTCATCATCCACAATGTGCATATCCACCACTGTTATCCGTCAGGTACATGAGTTTTCCACTTCATTTCATGAATTTTTATTTACCATATACGCATGGTTTGCTCATAGTTAAGTTTATTCAGATTTACTTGATACATATGATTTACGAATGATTGAAAATATTTAGTTTTATCTAATACATGTGACTTATGAATAAGAGACTGGGTGTATCTAGATTTACTTTAGATTTACCTTAAAACCCTTTGCCGGGTTGTTTTTGCTTTTACTCAAAAATAATTTCGGTGTATGCTCTTGGAATTAGCTCAAGTAGCGGAGAAGGTGTTTGATAAAAATTGGTTAGGATTAGAATAAGTTAAGATTTCGATCCATTCCATGCAGGCGACGCTAATGTGCGTTCAAGCCCAACCCACTACAGCTACAGCACAAAATCAGACGGATTTTGACTGGTAAAGGTATTCTCAAGGAAACTGACTTTTTGGACTTTATTTACTCTGTTTAAAATTGGCTTTCTGAAAGGGAAGATTTGAATGACTGATGAAACAGAGAATATGATTATCTGTCAAATATTATATTGTTGTTTTTCAAATAGCATTCTTCTTCTGGCTGCTCCTATACATATATATAATGACAAATAGCATATTTGGATAATCAAATTTGTTCTTTTTCTTCCTTTTCAAAGTTACTAGGTTTAATTGTAACCGAAAAAAAAGTTACTAGGTTTAATTTGTGCTTGCACACAATATATAATTTATTCTCCATTTAGCTTAACAAACTTATTAATGGCACTCTCTGCATATTTTCAGGATTGATACTCAATCAAATACAAGGCGATTTCAATCCCTCTTTCGTGTATGAGCCCTCATAAAGTTGACATTTATATGCTTTTGTTGAAGAACTTTACGAAATTTTCATTACATTTTTGTGTTGTTTTACCCCACATTGTATTTCAGTATCTTCTTGAGGATGTTGCTTTGGAGCCCAAACGGTTGAATAAAATCCCTGTAGGTCAGGAGTTCATGATTTTTTTTAACTTTTACAGGGAACTTTTTACTTGATGTGGATAACTATCATTCTAGCCATGACATTGATTGAGGAGCCAATATATTTAGCATTGAAATTTAAAATTAACTTTAGAATTCTTCATTAATTCTCATGTCCAGTGAGATCTATTTCTTTTACTTTCGAGGTTTATATTTTTTTCTCACTCGGGTGGGTTTTCTGGTAATGCATCTTCAGCCCCTGAATCAAGAAATTGTAAATTCTCCAGTAATGTGTTGATTCATGCAGTTGACAAACTTGGGAGCTTCTTAAGGAAATTTCCTCTTTTTCCAAATGCTTTTCTGGTTAGTGGTGTAGAAAACTTCTTTATTATTGAACTTGCAGATCAGGTAAATTTTGAAGCACTCTGTGCTGCAAGTACTTTTGTTGAGTTTTTGTTCTCACATTGCATTGAATGAGGGTGATATTTTCTTTACTGGTCAGCTTCAAAAACTGAAGGTGGAACCAGCACATAAAACTTCTCCAGGGTAATATTCTAACCAATTTTTAGGTTTAAGATTTAAGGCATCATGTGAACCTGGTATTTGGTGGCTTCAGATTATTGACTTATTTATTGTGGTGCTAATTAATTAAACTCAAGTTATTTGTGCCTAATGAACCACAGCTGTAATAATTTTAGTTGTAATATGTATGTGTTTGTGTGTCTATTTGTTTTTTGGTATATAAGCAGACCGCTGTCTCGCATTCTACATGCTGAGGCTGATAGATAATTTTGATGAATTAGAACTTTATGATACACAAGGACAGAGTTGTAGGAACTGTCTTCGCTCACAATTAAGATGTCATTGTCCTCTGAATGAATTTGAAAACAAACCAGTCTTCGCTTCATATCCTCATATTTTCATGTTTCCATTTGTTGGTATGAGAAAAGGAAATGTAACAGAGGTGGTGATTTCTGTTGGGGTCCATATTTTTTATATTCCTTCATATCCAAAACAGTGTTGCAACGGATTAATTAATTGAGTCTGTCTTATCTCACATGGAAAACCAAAATTATATAGGTCCTGCTGCATGCTAAATTTGCAACTCAACTCTTTCATCTATGTTACTGAGTCTTTGGAGCTCATTGTTTAGACTGTTGTTTATGGAAAGTTTGATGATTTGCAGCATCAGTGATTTAGACAATTAAGGCAGTGATTATCATCCATAGTTTTGACTTTGGTTTTCCCTTTTGTATTCCCTATAAATTAATTTTAGTGAGAAATCTAGATTTCTATTTCAGAAGGTTTGTTCTAGAAAATGCAAAATCCAAATATTATGAAGTGTGCACCGGAGAAGATCCTCTTTTTGCTTTTCCAAAATATAAATAGTCTATTATATTAGTCTGATGTTTCGTACCCCCAACTTATCTTTTATAGTTAATGTTCCATTTGTGTTTTGCAGGCCTGAGTCATTGGGTATTATTGTTGGAATTGTTTTCTTGGTCTTGGGAATCTTATTCCAGTATTTCAACTTCACTGCAGATTCAAATGTAAGTTTGCGCTCTTTCATTGAATACAGGAACATAACTTTATTTCAATTTACAATTTCTGCAATTTATTGTTGCTCAGAGGTGAAACTGTTTGTTTTTGGTGAAACATGAGAATTCCTGTTTGTTTATTATCTGTTTGCCGACTTTTTAAATGTAGTTGTTTACGTAGTTAAGGGCGTTAGTGAAAAAACTGTTCCCACCAGTTGACGGGTAGGTGATAAGTACATTTTGTTCAAACCCATTAGAGTTTACAAATGAAATAGATGGAAAAAAAATTTATGGCCTAATACTAATGTGGTGTTTAAATTTGGTGGCCTATTACTAATTTGATGGCCTTATCAGATGTTTTAGATGTAATGAACAAAACTATAACCTATAACCTGTTATTTCTGCCTTTATTCTGCTTACATTAACACCTGTCATTTTTCAAATTTGTACCAACAGAGTTAAAACCTCCGCAGAGGACAAGAAAGAACATAAGCCACCTATACAGCAGAGCTAACAAGAGAAAGAACCCCTTCTAACAGAGATCAAGGCAGAAAAATCCTCTTCCACCATCCAGTAGCATATATATAAAGACCTATCCAAACTCTTTTGAACAATGAGCAACTCAATATTGTCGATATTTTGATGTTTTGACTGCTACTTGATTTATTAAAATATGGTCAGCATTTTAATCATGACAAACAGCATAAAAAACATGTTATTAACCTATTTTTTGTAACTTAGACTTGTTAAACAAAGCATGATGCCACTATTTAGATCTCCATGTCTATATAAATATAGTACCATTTTTCCTACATATTTCACAACTTCGTACACATTTCATGCGGTTTTAGAACCCGCAGCATCGTGCGGGCTTTTTTGCTAGTGAAATCTATATATGCTTTCCGGATCCCCATTTTCACCATGCTTGTTGCTTTCGACCACAAATGTGAGATTATTGTTGAAGATGGCCGACAATCTCAACTAGCGTACTTCTGAATTCACATGCAAGTAAAAGCTATTTTGCTTGAAATTTTTTTTATATATATCCAATCTTTGATGCAAAATTAAGAAAATTAAATAAGAAAAAATTTAAGTGGGGTGTTCAAAAGTTGAAAACCAAAGGCATGGGTACCCCTACTTTGGTGCATCTCCTATGTAGTCAATCACCACTACACTACCCCACATGATCTTGGGATTATTATATTATGTTGGGTTTTATGCGGTTTTGCTTCCTAAATTATTTGCACATTGTCAATTTAGCTTTTTAATAATTTTTTCGGTAAATTAAGGACTTTAATTATTTAAAAATCGCCAATTGAGAGCCTTACATCAATTTTTTTTTTATTCCATCCAAATTAAGGGTAAATTCGTAGTTTTATTTTTATAAAAATTAAAACCTCACCTACCTAAAATTAAACATTTAAAAAAAGAGAAAATGGGATCATGGGATTATTATATTATGTTCCTTGCTTTCTTTTGTTTTGTACCATATTTACACTGACTAAAATTGAAGAAGAAAAAAATTCGGATTAATTTAAAGTAAAAAACTGAGGTCTGTTGTTCCTTCCACTCAATTGCACTCAAATGCCATCATCAACTTTCATGTTCTGCCTCTGATTTTATTTAGGGGCAACAAAAAATCAAATTATATGTTGTTTAAAAATAAAATAAAAATTAGATCCATAAATTGAAAGTTATTGAAACAATGTAGTACAGTCGACTACCGTCCCTAAAAAGCTGGGTTACTTCCTTCTTTCCTCCTATTGAGATTGTAATTAACGACTAAGCAATGTGATTAAGCTAATTGATGCAATTATCATAAGCAAGCATATGATTATCATAAAGTTGAAACAGGGCATATGACTATGCGGCAACCAAGTCAGAAGTTTTTCTGCAATATTAAACCTAATATAGAAGGGCCACCACAGCCACAGCACAGAGATGACATAAAAATAAATAAATATTGCTGATTTTTGGTAAGCATTAATTATAAGCTAAACATGCACGTCCATTTAAGTTGTGCATCCAGATCTGACCTACCAGCTCAGCTACATGAATTAATACTGCTGTTGCTTCCATTCAATTCGAGTTAATAAGGGCATCAACTCAAATTAATACTGGCATGCAATTTCTATTCATTGTGCCGATCAATTTGAGAGTCAAAATCAGTTCAACAATTATTACACTTTTACTGTGCGTTAAAGTGATTAAGCAGTTATTCGTGGATATGATATGAGGTCTCGTGTTCGAATTTTCCTTTTTCAATATTACTTGTACTAATAAACACAAAAATAGCTCTCCCACAACAAAAGTTTAAGTTTAAATTAATTTCATTCTAACCCAAAAGGATTAAATGAAGTTAGTAAATTTGACTGGTGGTTGTATTCCGTTTTTCTTTGTTTTTATTTCTTTTTCAAAAAGCTACTAATCCAATCCAACCTTAACATCACCTTTATATCCACACACAATTAGCAGTCAAAAATTCATAGAGATTGGAATTTTATTCTTTGTCATTAGCTAGCAAAGTTCAAACGATGAATGTACGTATGCAAGCCCAAGATTCCAAAAGCATGGTATTAAATCACTGTGTGATTGAGATATTTACCGACCGATTAGAGAGAAAATTGGGAGATGCGATCCCATAAGCTAGGCTATTAGTGGACTTTCATGTCAAGTCAATGTCAGGCCGATTATTTTAGAGTTAACAGTAAATACCATACGTATAATTAATTCACACCCCTCTAATTTCATTGAAGGAATCATTTCTATACGAGAGCACACCAAACTTTTCAAGAATAATAGTTTTGAAATACGCCACCATGCTTTAGATATTAAAATATGTATTCTAGTGCTCTAATTACTTTTTGCTTAGGGGCTAATTTTATTGTTAATTAAGGTGGGCGTGATGACATGTTAACATCACGCTTAAAAATAATGTCTACATCATGCCTAAATGTCTGCTCTATTGGATCTCCCTATCCCTACACCCCAATTTTCATGCCTCGAAATCAATGAATTGTAAATTAAACCTAGTTTAATGCACGCCCCAAATATTCATTTTTCTAATGCATTTACTTTAATAGGCTTATATTGACTTTGGAGGAGAGTACTAAAACACCAGAAAAATTTGTATGAAACACAGAATGCCATGTGAAAGCATAGTATACTATAATTGGTGGGGTATAGCAAAATAGTGTTATCCCCGTTTCATGTAAGTGTTTTGCTTAAAACACTGCATGGAAAGAGAATGGTTTTTGATCAAGTACAACGAAATGGGGGGTAGTGTGAGATTCTCCTTTTCGCTAGGCTTTTCTGTTAGGCAGAGGAGATGTATGTTGCGGGCCTTTGTTGCCCTAATTGGACATTTATAAAAAGACTAAAGCAGGTTGGTTAACTTAATTGTATGGATATGGAATATGGAATATGGATTCTCCAAATACAAAAACAAAAAGTAATTATAATTAATCAACAAAAACATGTCCATCACGTGGAGATGAGTCACTGATGATGATGATGATGAAGGAAAAGGGTGAAAATTTGGCTAGGGGCGGCTCTCCCCTGTACTCTTATCCGATCATCTCTGACTGTTTATGTGTAGGAATGATGTAACTTTAATGGCTGTGAGTATACAAAGAAAAGAAATTCCAAAGAAAGGTGGGGAAGAAGAAGTACTATAATCTACTCAAAGAAAACGCCAACAAGAAAATAGAAATAAAGCTCCATCTTTCGGTAGACCTTGGCAGCACAAACACCTTTGCAGATGTTGGCTTCCCACCAAACCAATGTTTTACCAAATCCCCTCACCTGCTTGTCCATTGTAATTTGCAGGGGACATGCCAATTGGCATCTCACTTTTTATGTGCACAACATGGGGTCGGGCCTTGGGTCTGTCTATAGATGGGTATAAACTTATTTGTAATTATATTACCGGAGCCAATATTTCACATTAGAGGGGTCCTTCATAAAATTTGTCTTATCTTCATGATTATCATGAATTTCATATTTTTTATTGGTTAAATACTAATTTCATAATCTACAATATTAAAGACTTAAAAATTAATAATTTATATTCAAACAGAAAAAAAAAAAGAAAAAAAAAAGGAGAGTTCATAAAGCGCAATATTAAGGTGCCCAACTCATATATGAATTTCTTTTTTAGGAAAATAAAAAATTCACAAAGTTTTAAACAAAAGAGAAAGAGAAAGAAGAGGAAGAGAAGGTTAAAACTTTAGGAGTTTTTAGTGAAAATATCATAAACTAACCTAGAATATTAAGGGAGATGAGTAGAAGAGAAATCAATAAATTTTATGGTTAATTTGTAGACAAAAAGAACTTAATATATTATTTTATTTTAGGGTAAATATCTAAAAACTAATATAATATATTATAATATTATATATGATATATAATATACAAATAGAAGAGGTAAAAATGGAGTGGGGGTTTGGGACCACACTCGCCCCATGTTGTCTCCGCCCATGTATCACGTAACCCTGATGAGTGTTGAATACACAAGTCTTGTTTGATGACTCCACTTCGAATGAATTATTTGTGAACTCGGTTAAACTGAATTATATCATGTCATGTCGTTGAATGTAAGTATTTAAAAAAAAAATCACATTCACTTATGGGTATCTATACTCATTACCCTAGTATACGAATCACCCTAGTTTAATTTAGATCAAGTTTAATTGACACTTGTTCAAGACTAATTATGATCTCCAACACTAATAAGTCTTCTTCTTGTATGTCTCTTTGTGTGAGTTTGTGCAATTGTTTAACATCATCATTACACTAGTCACTTATTCATTTCGTATTCCCATCCCATTACACTTTGGTTTGGCATCCAAGATGCCGGGTCAACCAAAGAAAATGGACTTGGACAAAGGAAATAGCATTCGGGTCACAGCAAACCCGTGAAGGTTGACCCAGCAATCCACCAAACCACCCAAAGGCCCCATGGGTCACGGTGACTGGTAGTTCTTTCTAGATGCTGTCACGGCGCGTGTGATACACTTCCATGAATAGGAGTTTAAAAAAGAAATAAAAGAAGTCGCCAAATTAAAGACATGCCCCTAATAATCCAACAAAATCCATTGAATTAATGCATGACTGAGTTTTGTTATAAATAAAAAAAAAATTTGCCCAAAAAACGTTTATAAATCTGTACACACTGATGCTGACCAATCAACAGCGAGTGCTTTTTTGTAATTGTTGAGTACAAAATCATACAAGAAAACTCAAATTTGACAAAATTAAAAAAACTGAATTAAATAGGACTTTTAAGCCCTAATTAAGCATCACGCTGACCAATGACCGCCTTAAATGCCAGATTGAAAAATTAAAAAAACCTGTACTGTTACGACGAATGAAGGATAATTAAAAAAATAAATAGAATAAAGAAATAGATAGATAGAGATGAGATCACGAGAGCGAGAAAGTGCTTTTTGAAAATCAATATTTTAGTAGTAGAGGCAGTTTGGGTTGGGGTGCGCTGCGTAGGAAGGAGGAAAAGAAAAGAAAAGAAAAGAAAAGAAAATAAAGAGAGAAGAAGAAGAAGAGAAAATAAAATAAAAGAAATGAAAATAAAGCGGCAAATATGGTAAAGAAGAGAACTAGTGTTGTTGATGCAGTTGTAGTTACTGGTAGTGAAGAAAGAAGAGGAAGAAGAAGAAGAAGTGCGAGAGAGGCAAGTGCGTGTCTCGAGATGCGAGCAGACTCCGGCAGAAAGGGAACCTTCTCCGTACTCCTCCTTTTCCTCCTTTTGATTCTCATTCTTCCCAGCATTTAATTCCAATATCTCATCTTTCTCCTCTACCATACTTGTTCTTCAGTCGTCATATTATATCATATAATATTTTTCGCTTTCTCTTGTTCTATGCTGCCGTTTGCTTCCTCCTCTCTTGGATTTCTCATGGAATTAGGGTTTTTTATTCTGCTTGGGCTTGTACTTGGAGTTGCTCCGATTCAATCGCCCTGATATGCTCCAGTCGATCACGGGATGCATTCTTGAAGACTCTGGGATTGGTTAGGTTTCTTTGTTGTCAAGAGGGATTTTGCTTTTTATTTAAGTTTCTTTGGGCTGTTGCAGCTGCTTAACTTTTAAGCTCTTATTGGTGATATCTTTTTTGGTTGTAAATAGTGTTAGATTTCGTGTATCCTAATCTGTCTGATTTCCTCCTGTGATATTATTTTGTGATTCTTGGAGGAGGATTTGCTTTCTGTTTTTGTTCCAATTTTTGAAAAAAAAGGAAACAAGAAACAAGGGAAACGAAATCATAATCAAAGTCCATATAAAAAAACACATCTTTTTTCCAATTCGCCCACCGTTTTTATTGTGGGTCGTTTTATTTTATTTTTTCATTATACTAAAATTTAGAACAGAAGAAAAAGAATTTAGATTTCTGGAGGAGGAAGAGCTGGTTCATTATTCTTGTTGGGTTCTGACCATTCTATGGGAATACCTGATAGATCACTACTAGATCTAATAGAGAAAGTTAAGTCTTGGGTTTCTAGGAGAGCAAGGGAATCACGGTGTTTGTCCGGCGAGTTTGATATGCCCAGTAACGGTTGCAAGATGTGTTGTGATTGCAATACAAATACCACTGATATTGGTCATAGATACCACTGCCAAAGCTGTGGCCGATGGATTTGTGGAAAGTGTATTCAGGGCTGTGAATGGGGTGGCATCAAGAGCAATGATGAGGTTGGAGAGAGTATTACTAAGTTCTGCAAGTTTTGTTCTCGGGTTAGATTAAGGAGGGAAAGTGGAAGGAAGTATAGTGAGAAAGTGCATCCTTCTGCCTCTCCCCGAGAAAGCCCTGAACCACCATCCCCTTGTTTTAGTGGTGAAACAGTCAAGTGTTCTGTGGATAATGAATCCATTCACAGTGATCAGTTCTCAAAGTTTCTTGAAGCCCGGGATTGTGGGTATTCTCCTCATGCAGTGAGGAGTATGACCATGTTTAGTTCTCACCCATCTTCAATATCTGTTCGTCGCTCTTTTAGCAGGTATGCTTTCCTTCAGATTACATGTAGTGCATCAAGATGCTGCCCTAAATGTTTTATGTAATTATGCTTTAATCTCTTTAACTGCTATAGTATTCAAAATTTGGACATAGCCTTTTCGTTTTGGCCCTCTTTATGTCTCTCTCCACCTCCCTCCCCAAGTGTATATGGTGCTTAACTAATTCTCTGCTTTCTAATGTAGGAGTGACGAAGAGGAGGCAGAGGATTCTGGAAAGAACTTTTTCAGCCCTTCAAGTGAATATTGTGATGACAATTTGGATATAGATTTAAGTAGTGTTAGTGCTAGAAATGAGTTTTACCGTTCAAGGTCACCGGGATCAAATCAGTTTGATTGCCCATCTAGAATTTATTATACTTCTAGTAGAGTTGGGCATTCTGTACAGCAGGGGCAGGAGGGAATCCCGGTGTCTCAGAATGACGGTCCCTTTGGTCAACAGACTACGGCTGTTTTAAAAAGGCCCGAGAAAGGGACTGAGGATCCAGATATTACTGATGATTGCTCTGATGACTTGTCAGTTTTCCACAGCCAATATGAGAAATCACAGAGGCCACTGGATTTTGAAAACAATGGTCTCATCTGGTATCCCCCTCCGCCTGATGATGAGAATGATGAGGCAGAGAGTAATTTTTTTTCTTATGATGATGAAGATGATGATATTGGAGATTCAGGCGCAATATTTTCAGAGAGTAGTAGCCTTTCGAACATGTTTCCTGCAAAGGAGAAACTGAATGAGGGTAACAAGGAACCACTTAGAGCTGTGGTACAGGGACATTTTAGAGCTCTTGTATCGCAACTGTTACAAGGTGAGGGTTTCGTGGGCAAAGAGGATGGAGATGAGGACTGGCTTGACATAGTTACAACAATAGCATGGCAAGCTGCAAGTTTTGTTAAACCGGACACTAGCAGAGGAGGCAGTATGGATCCTGGTGATTATGTGAAAGTTAAATGTATTGCATCAGGAAGTCCAAGTGACAGGTATGATTTCCATACATTTTGCAGATCTTTGTACTAGTGACTTAATTGTATCTTTAAGCTAAACATTTTGGATTTTGCAGTACCCTTGTAAAAGGAGTAGTTTGTACAAAGAATATAAAGCACAAGCGCATGACCTCGCAGTACAAAAATCCTAGATTGCTTATTCTAGGAGGATCGCTTGAGTATCAGAAAGTTCCGAACCAGTTGGCGTCTTTTAATACATTACTACATCAGGTTTTGTTTTGTTTCTCTCTCTCTCTCTCTCTAAAGACAATTTCTTTTATCTTTAAAGTTCTGTAAATGAAATTTTGACCTTTTTTTAACAGGAAAACGATCATCTTAGGATGATTATCTCAAAGATAGAGGCTCTCCGCCCCAATGTTCTACTGGTAGAAAAAAGTGTATCTTCGTATGCTCAAGACTATCTGCTAGAAAAGGAAATATCGTTAGTGTTGAATGTTAAAAGGCCAGTACTAGAGCGTATAGCCCGGTGTACTGGTGCACTTATTACTCCATCAATTGACGATATCCCTAAAACTCGTTTGGGACATTGTGAATTGTTCCGGTTAGAAAAGATTTCTGAACAGCATGAGCCAGCCAATCAGTTTAACAAGAAACCACAGAAAACCCTGATGTTTTTTGAAGGGTGTCCAAGGCGTCTTTGTTGCACGGTAATCTTCTCCATATACAACATTTGGTTTATTTCTTTTACAAATTGAGTATCTGCTGTTTTTTTAATCATATTTTTATTTAATATACTCATAATCTGCATTCTGATATAGCATAAAGATTTAGTCTGGCTGTCCCTAATTTTGTCATTATCTGTTGTAGGTCCTGCTGAAGGGTGCATGTGTTGAAGAACTAAAGAAGATCAAACATGTTGTCCAGTATGCAGTGTTTGCAGCTTATCATTTATCTCTTGAAACTTCTTTCCTTGCTGATGAGGGTGCTACTCTGCCCAAGACGACACTGAGACACTCAATTACTATACCAGATAGGACAACAGCTGATACAATTTCAGTAGTCCCTAATTCTTTCAGTTCAAGCAATTCCAAAGCTGTAGCTGTTGCTTCTGCTCAAGATGATGACATTTTGGGTCTGAAACCAGAAGTTGAAGGATTAGAATCTTTGTCTGAGCATCTTGATCCCGAGCACAATTTTCCTTTGTCTAATGGTTCTGTGGACAGCGTGGTTGGAAATACATTTTCTGATGCATATACTGATGATTTAGCATCTAATGTATTTTTGGACTCTTCTCCATCTCAATACAAGGATATAAAGGGGCTAACTGCCCATTCTTCTGTCACAAAAAATCTTTCCCAATCAGAGTTGCAAGAAACCTTGCTTCATAACTGGAGTCAACATGAGGATATTCATGAGTTGACAAACTCTGAAAGAATTGACCACAATGAAGTTTCAAGTGAGTTTTTCTCGTCTGCTGACACTCATCAGAGCATATTGGTATCTTTTTCAAGCCATTGTGTACTGAAAGGAACTGTTTGTGAACGCTCCCGGCTTCTGCGGATAAAATTCTATGGCTGCTTTGATAAGCCACTTGGCAGATATCTTCGTGATGACTTATTTGATCAGGTAATTCATTGTTAGTTTACTTAATCCCTCCCCCCTTATTTTATTCCTTATTATGGAATTATAGTTAATGAATTATGGAATTATAGTTAATAAGTTTTATAATTGGCAGACATCTTTTTGTCGATCTTGTAAAGAGCCAGCTGAAGCCCATGTTCTATGTTATACCCATCAGCAAGGAAACCTTACCATTAATGTAAGACGCCTTCCTTCACTAAAGCTCCCTGGGGAGAGAGATGGTAAAATATGGATGTGGCACCGTTGTCTAAGGTGTGCCCATATAGATGGGGTTCCACCAGCAACACGTAGAGTAGTCATGTCAGATGCTGCCTGGGGACTTTCTTTTGGAAAGTTCTTGGAATTGAGTTTTTCAAATCATGCAACTGCTAATCGTGTTGCTACTTGTGGCCATTCATTACAACGGGACTGCCTCCGTTATTATGGGTAAGTACTAATAGATTTGGATTGGTTGTTAATTTTTCAAGTATTGAGTGATCTTATTTCAAATTGGCAACTCTTGTTTAACAGGTTTGGGAGTATGGTTGCATTCTTCCGATATTTGCCCATTGATATTCTTTCTGTCCACTTGCCCCCTTCAGTGCTTGAATTCAATGGCCAAGTTCAGCCAGAGTGGATAAGAAAAGAGGCAACTGAGGTGCTTTTAGGAAATTTAATCTGATTTTTGAATAATTTCTCAACTGGTGCTGAATGCTAAACTAGTTTTGTAACTTTTGCAATTTTATGAGATCTCAATTCTTTTTTGCAGCTTATGGGAAAAATGGAAACCTTATATGCGGAGATATCTGATGTACTGGACTGCATGGAAGAGAAAAATAGATCTTTTGGACGTGAAATGTCAGGTGCAAGTGAATTACAGAACCATATCGTGGAGCTGAAAGATCTGCTTAAAAAGGAAAGAAATGACTACATTGTAAGTACAAAATATAGTATCATCATGATGTTTTTGTGACTGATTGTTATCACATGTTTCCTGGTATGTAGTTCATATTTATGCATTGTGGACAATGAATCTGTCTTTTGCTAATCTAGTTTCCTTGGTTCTTTTAATAGGGTTTTCTGCAACCTGCATTTGTGGAGACTTCAGAACCAGGCCAAATGGCTGTAGTAGACATTCTGGAGCTAAATCGCTTGAGACGCTCTCTTTTAATTGATTCTCATGTTTGGGATCGCCAGCTCTATTCACTGGACTCACTCCTCAGAAAAAATCCTGCTTCTATGGCCACAGAAGGGGGTGTATCTTTTGTCCACCTGCAAGAGTTGATAAGTGACTCATCTAGAAAGGATGGCAGGTTTGATTATAGCCATGAAGATAATGTGTCTGAATCTTCAAAATTGCAAGCGCGTACTGGAAATGATTTATCACCAGATAAAGGACCTGATATACCAACGCATGAACCTTCTGAAGACCCCATGTTGGTATCATGCCATTATAGCCGAGAGGATGAAATACATTCAGATAGGGAAATTGTTAATAAGACATCCTGTGAAAGCTCCCCCTCCCATAAATCTACTCTTTCTGAGAGAATAGATTCTGCATGGACTGGAACTGATCAACTTCTGGTGAAAGCTCAGCCTCTTCATACTTCTGCAATTGGACTCCCAGCCGGTGCTGTCAAGCAGACAAGTCAAAATGACGATCCTCCTTTAAGGAGGTTAATGTCGTCAATGAGAGTTCATTCTTTTGATTCTGCAGTAAGAGTCCAAGAAAGGATCAGGAAAGGATTGCCCACTTCTTCGTTGCATTTGTCGACACTTAGATCATTCCATGCTTCTGGAGATTATAGGAGTATGGTGAGAGATCCTGTGTCTAGTGTAAGAAGGACTCATTCCCAGGCATTTCAACGAGAGACACAGAAGTTGGATTCCATACTCAGTTTCACACCCTCATTCGTCTCCTCTGCATCTCAAATAGCTGATGGGGTCCGGTTGCTGCTTTCCCAGACAAGCAACAATGACATAGTTGTTGGTGTTTATGATAGCGAGCCCACTAGCATAATATCATATGCCCTTAGTTCCAAGGATTATGAGGATTGGGTTGCTGATAATTTGAATGATCATCAAGGAGGCTGGAGTAATCATGATAGCTATAAAGAAGATTCTGCCCCTTCCATATTTTCACCCTGGCAGTCTTTTGGCTCTATGGACTTGGATTATATCCACTATGGAAGTTATGGATCTGAAGATGCTGCATCATCCATGGGTAACCTGTTTGCAGATGCCAAAAGATCTCCACATTTAAGGATTTCCTTCGGCGATGAGTCCTCAAATGCTGTAGGCAAAGTGAAATTTTCTGTGACTTGTTATTTTGCAAAGCAGTTTGACTCTCTTAGGAAAAAGTGCTGTCCCAGTGAAGTAGATTTTGTACGATCTTTGAGCCGCTGCCAGAGGTGGAGTGCACAAGGTGGGAAGAGCAATGTATATTTTGCGAAATCTCTGGACGATAGATTCATCATAAAACAAGTCACAAAGACAGAATTGGAATCCTTTCAGGAGTTCGCACCTGAGTATTTTAAATATTTGACAGATTCCCTTGGCTCCGGAAGTCCAACTTGTCTTGCCAAGGTTCTTGGTATATATCAGGTTAGGCCTTCTTTAATTATTTATTTATTCGTTTACTTTCTCTTTATTGGTATGTGCACCACACGGGTTAGTACTAGTGGGTAATGGCTTAAAAATTCTTGTGATCTTCTTACACTGGTTTGTTGGCAGGTCACTGTTAAACACCTGAAAGGTGGGAAGGAAACTAAAATGGATTTGATGGTGATGGAGAACCTGTTCTTTAAAAGAAATATTTCAAGGGTATATGATCTCAAGGGGTCTGCTCGATCCCGTTACAATTCTGATACAACAGGGGGAAACAAAGTACTGTTGGATATGAATTTGTTGGAATCATTACGTACAAAACCCATATTTCTTGGAAGCAAAGCAAAGAGAAGCCTGGAAAGAGCTATTTGGAATGATACATCATTTTTAGCGGTATGCCTTAACCCTCTTCCTTTTTTCTTACATCTTCCATAGCTTCTCCTGTGCCTTGCATGTGCACTTCCCCCATTTCATGGGATTGAACCATTTTGTTGACGGTATTGCCTCCGAACTATAAATGCTAACTAGTGTAGCTATTAACTGATGTCATGTTTCTCCAGTCTGTTGATGTAATGGACTACTCACTGCTGGTTGGGGTGGACGATGAGCGGAAGGAGTTGGTTTTGGGGATCATTGATTTTATGAGACAATATACATGGGACAAACATTTGGAGACATGGGTGAAGGCATCTGGAATCCTGGGTGGTCCGAAGAATGCTGCTCCAACGATCATTTCTCCCATGCAATACAAGAAAAGATTCCGGAAAGCAATGACCACCTATTTTCTCACTGTACCTGATCAATGGTCGTCATGAACAGCTGGCATCTTTGCATATTCTTTCTTTTGTTCACAAAAGATGTGTTCACTAATAAGGAACAGGGGAATTGTTATTGCTGATAAACAGAGAGGAGGGAAATCCCTCCCATCTTTTTCTTCCCCTTTCTTTTGTATACGGGGCAGAATTAACCCAAATGAGATTTGTTACCGCTGTAATTGTGAAGAGTTGGCAACTGTTATTTTGCATGTCAAAGTTTACCAACAGTGTAAAGGATAGCCATGTGACGTAAAAGTAGACAAATGTAAATCAAAATTTCATACGTTGGATTTGTTGTCCACGTGCTTCATTAGTAAAATATCACATTTTTATTAGTTTCATTACTATTCTCTTTGGGAATATGCATCTTTAATTAGAGTACATGCATCCATTTAAGTCACATGTGTCGAGTACTTTATCATTCATCTTAGCTTTGTATTATTGGGCTAATCCTGAATATAAATCCTTCTGGATAAGAAACCTTGGAATGTACTTTTGGTATAAAGAATTCTGAAAATCCCTGTCAATTAACTTTCGTTTATAAAAAATAAAAAAAAACTTTATACTTTTGGCTTAATGTGTTTACTCGTTACCCAATGCAAGTTTATTCATACCCAAATGAAAGAAATATGTGTTAAATTCTTCTATGTTTTAAGTTTTCCCCCCTTTTTCAAAGAAAATTTTGTATCTTAGAACTTTCTCAAAACTGTAGGTATGGTCCAGAGGCATCACATGATGAAGAAGAAGAAACAATTAAGAAGATGAAAAAGTTTGACTACAAGTCATAATTATGCGGAATAATGTAATTACATCAGTTGCTCTAAGATAAATAATCCTCGATCACCACAAGTGTGTGGTTGATGGGATACCGCGCAGACTGAAGTAGAGAGTTTAGAGGAAAATTATGCTAATCGTCCAACCACACTCACAAAACAACGCTGCCTCTATCGGTTTGACTCTTTGAGTGTGTTGCCGTATACAAGCACATCAGGTGGACACAAACAAGAACAACTCGAGTTCGAGTTTAGGGCCATTTACTAAACTACACTGCCTACTGGCTACTGGCCGCTACTTGTTAAGAAGCCACAGCTACTTGTATCTCTCCTTCATTGTCGGGTCGGAAACTCACTCGTTTCTGCAAAGTCAATAAATATTTCTTTGATCAAAATGAAAATAAACAAATAAATAAATTGGTCTTCGAAATGCTACCAAAACATGTTAGATGGAAACAGAGTGGTGGTAAGTGGTAACTACTAAGTGGTTGTTGTATGCAACTAATTAAGGCTGGCGGAGCAGGTGAAAATGTTGACTAGTTAAGTCTTCTTGTTCTTTTCAAAATGCCCAAACTCTTAGAAGTTAGATCCTTTATTTGAACGTGTTTTTCTCGGTGCTAGGCATTGTGACTTAATTTTAAAAAAAAAAAGTACTTTAAACTACTCTAATTAAAACAGAGAAGAGAGTTTGAACTCGGATATAAATAGATTGACACACTTCTTAGACTAATTCACCTAACTCACGTTTGTAATTTATGTGCTAAGCTACAATTTGTATATTAAGGTGAGTGCTAAGTAAAGGTAATAAGATTTGGATTATACTTGAGTTCAGGGGAAGGTTGAGCTTTGCTTGAGCTCATACCAAAGTCTGAAGGAAGTCGAGCCCCTCAAATCAGGACCCAAAATTGACGATTAGTTTTGTAGGTCCAACAACATTTATAAACGTCTCAAGCAAACAAAACAAACCGAAATGTCAAAACACCACTAAACATGGCAGAAAAACAGGATCCATGTCTCTGAGAACCCATACCTCACGCGATCTGATGCCTTGTGATCCAAGTAGTCTTCCATGAGCGCCATCCTTCCAATGCGTTTGCTGGTTCAAACCAAAACCTCCATTGCCATTGGTCTTCTCACTTGCCTTTTGCCCACCGCTGTTGTTGTTGACCAAGCAAAGATCCACAATCCTCTGAGCTGCCTCTGCCTCGTCTCTGCTCTGCTTCATCAATTTCTCAACTTGGGCCTTTGGAAGCCTCATCCTCACACGCACCGCCCCATCAATCTCTCTTGCCTCCTCCTCGGGCACAATGCTGTTAGCTGATGCTGCAGACGATGATTTCATGACAGAAAGGTCTGAAACCGACCTCCGAGACAGCATGAGGGTCTCGAGCCTGTCTTTAGCGCTCATGTTTATCCCTGACCTCACCCTTCTTGGAACTCTCTCCTTTGGAAGCTCAACCTTTGGCAGCTCAACAAGGAAGTAAATCCCTCTTGGCTCAAGGTTTTGATATGGCTCCAGAGGCTTTGCTCGAACCCCAAAATGCTTGACCTCCTCTGATTTTAGCAGAACATGACCTGGGTAGTTTTTTACTACCTCGCCAGCTTGCACTGGTGTCTTTAACTTGAACGACTCCCCACTAATTTGCATCACCTTTGCATTCTTTTTACCTCCCAAACTGTTCCCCATTGGAGTAGGAGCTTCGCTAGCTCAGTGACCAGGAAAATAATAATCTTATTTCGTTTTGAAATTTTGAAGTGGCCCTTTTATTATACCTAAAGGGATGCTAAGATCTCACATGGATTTTGGAAATGGTGCCATGGTGGGTATAAGAAAGAGACGTGGTTCTTTGGGTAGTTGGATTTTGTTATGGTGGTCGTTGGTCAACAAAGAAGGCAAATTTTTTTGAAAAAACGACTTAGCTCATGAGCTTTGACATTAGCATAAAGTACGTAGGCGTTTGCTTTCGATCCTAAATTCCTATTATAATATATACTTTGTGAATCCTTTACTTTAGAGTTTTGTGCTTTTTCTATGTAATTTCAACGATCTTATCACAAAAACCCGTGATGTGTGGAACAAAGATGATTGCATGATCATATTTTGTGTGTAACAGTTCACGATAATCACGGCTCGGACTTGGTCAGATTTTCCTCTTTGGATTCTATCGATCATGTGAGAAATTTGACTATCAATTATTGTGTTTGGAAAAGATAATTTCAAGGACATGGTTGATGGGATGGGACTCTGACGACTTATCCAAGATTTCAAAAATATGGTAAGCTAAATTTACCGTAAGTGTGGACTGCTAGATTTTGGAGTCGGCTAAATCTTAAAAGATATATACTAACAATTAAAAAAGAAAAAAACTCCAAGCTGTAGGTCCGTCCCTACCTCTGTTTCCGGTAGTAGCTATACCCTTTTAAGACTAGCTTTTAGTTTTATTGTTTTGGAAATGATTAATTAGTGATTAAGCTCTAATGTACGGCAATTAATTTGGTAGCTTAGTACTGAGTGACTGAAACTAGTTAGTCCAAGTACTGGGTCCAAAATGATGGTCCGCTCATCAACTTGGAAGCGATTATTTCTCTCCAACATTATCTTAGCACAAACAATGAATGAAATTCCATTCACTCAGGAAGCTAACTTTCCTGCAGCTCCTATAAAAATATATGAGTGCTCTTGTTTTATAAAATTCAAATTCAACATGCAGAAATGTTGGTCTTTCACGTGCAACATCCATCCGAATTGGAATTTAGAAATGTATTACCCAAAAGTAACACGAAATTACTTGCATGAAATGCATGGGAAACATGGGAAATTAAACTGCAGTTGACAAGTTCAAGCTAAGCATATGCATCAGCATTCACAAGGGTCCTATTCAAGATATATTCATTGCTGAAGCTTGTGTGAAAACTTAAGCAATTTGAGGTGATGTCGATGATCAATGACCTGGTCATAGTCCCACCTTCAAAGGATAATGGATAAGGATCATCTTTGCTGTTCCATCTCTTCTCTTTGAAAATTACAGTTGTTTATCATTCGTTCTTGCTAATTCGACCTGTAAGTTTCCTGGGTTTTGGTTTGCGTTGGCGTCCCTATGCATTTTGAATCTTGAATGTCAGAAGATATTTAGGACGAAACTAAAAATAAAATAAAATCAAATTTTGGTTGACAATTCTGAAATTCAACAATCAATAAACAAGCTTGCCTCGTATTTAGAACTTAATAATATACAGTCCGTGACACAAATCCCTGGATTATTAGGAGGAAATAATTTTATGGACACACACCAGACGCTTGAACATGAAAGCAAGTCTTCAGTAAGTAAAGAATGTTGCAACAAACAATGCATCAAATGAACATTTTGAACTCTTAAAGAAGGAAAACGAATATACAGAGCATTGAGATCGGCTTATTCGCCTCAAGCTCGTATTCTCAGTTTCACACCACAAAAGGAAAAGTGGAAGAACATCCATTGAGAGAGAAAAAATTGGAGGAATGAAACAAATAGGATAATATTCGCGCTACTACAACTACAGTGTCATAGCTGCTGTAATTTTTGAAGATGCTCCAACAATGAACTAGCCTTCCGTTTGGCCCTCTCTGTGCCACTCTTTGTGAGCTCTGTCAAGGGTATGATTGCACCAAGCCTACTTATACAGGCAAGGCTCTCGGTATCTCTCTTGCACAAGGCAAGTAAAATGGCAGTTGCATACTCTTTGTTACGAGGCAGACCTCTTCGCAAAAGGTCTATCAGAACAGGTATGGTGCCAGCCTTCACTATAGTGACTTTGGCCTCTTGGTGGTTAGCGAGGACAGACATAATAGTCAGAGCTTCATCAACCATGCAATTGCTTGAATCAGTAAGCATCTTCAGTAAGGGTTTGACAATCCCTGCCCGAACAGCCCTGCCTTTGTTACCCTGATAAATGCACAAATTGAACAGTGCTGTTGCAGCATCCTTCTTCCCTCTGGTGCTCCCATTCTGAAGCAACTCTACCAAAGCAGGAATTGCCCCGGACGCACCAATTATTATCTTGTTCTCATCAGCAAGTGACAAACTAAAAAGGGTTGCTGCTGCATTCTCTTTCACTTCCATGCCTCCAGCTCTGAGGACTTGGACAATAGAAGGAACAGCACCAGCAAGCATTATAATCCCCTTGTTGTTTTCATATATTGAGAGGTTGAGAATGGAGGTGACTGCATTCTCTCGTGTTAAACCATCTTCTGTTGTTATGAGGTTGACCAGTACTGGTATGGCACCTGCTTCTGCTAATAATATTCTGTTATCCGTACTTCTTTTGGACAGTGATCTAATTTCTGTTGCAGCAACTCTACGCTCCTCAGTTGATCGACTGGAGAGCTTGCGAACCAAAGCTTGAATGGTTGCTATGTCTCCACTAATGTCACGGAAGGATCCATCACTCTTCTTGATCTTCCCGTTTGTTAACGCGGTGGGCTGCTCTATGTTGTTGTTAGTACACCACCGAGAAATCAGGCTTCTCAAAACATAATTCGGAGT